TGCTTTGCTTTGCTTTGCTTTGCTTTGCTTTGCTTTGCTTTGCTTTGCTCTGCTCTGCTCTGCTCTGCTCTACTCTATTTTAATTCTAATTCTTGTCCCATCCCATCCTATCCCATCCCATTCTATCCTATCCTATCCTATCCTATCACTTACATAATATTTAATGTAAGTTGGGGCTTAGGAAAAAAAGCACTGGCATTATTTTCAAATTAAAGTAAGATGGTCCTTGCTTACTGACAATAATTGGGAGTAGGAACTCTATCGCTGGTCATAAGGCATGATGTTACATGACCACACCAACTTGCGCTGCCAGTTCTAGCAACCCCAGTTGCGGTCATTAAATGAATCCCATTTGGTCTCAGTATACCACAGTCATATAATTGCCTTTTGCAACCCCCTACCAGCTTCCCCATTAACTTTGCTTGTTGGAAGCCAGCAATGAAAGTTGAGAATGGTAATCACAGGACCGCAGGACTCTGCAATGCCTAATTGTGAGCTGGTTGCTAAGTTCCCAAATTGCAATCATGTGATAGTAGAAAAGCTGCAGTGGCTGCAGTTGCAAGGACTGTTGCAAGTCCCCTTGTTCAGTGCCATTGTAACTTTGAACAGTTGCCAACTGATAAGCAAGGAAAATCTGTATTTGCAGTTTTTATTAATTTTAATTTGTATGGTTTACATTATAAAAACCTCAGATTCTGTGTTCTCAGGGAGGATTGCATTAAAAAAGAATATATAGAATTTTTAATCGTACAAATATTTCAGTGTTCTTTCATTTAACTTGAGTTATTTTCTAATTCTGGTAAAGGCTGCAAAGGTGGAATGGAAGAATAAGGAAAACCTTAACACAGGATTTAAGTTTCTCTTTGCCCTCTTCAGAAAATATTATCTTCCTCATTTGTTCCCTTCTTTTATAAAACTAACCAACCTCTACAATCCTGCGCTTGGTAAGTAACTATTTTACCTCAGTTATTTTAATAACATTAGAAGAAAAGTTTTTCCCTAATATTAAGATTGAAATCTTTAGAAAATAGATTCAAGATCCAGAGAGATCTTCACAGACTTCAACACTGGGCCTATCCAAAAAATATAAGTCAGTAGTGAGAAAAGTAAGATTCTCCCATGAGCTGCTCAGAGCATCCAGTAGTGGGAGGTGCTTCAGTCTCTGCTTGTCTAGGCTGGGCTTAAATTGCAGAATGCTCCTCCTCTTCCACGGGACTCCTCCCCAGCGTTCTTCAACACTGGGCCTATCCAAAAAGTATAAGTCAGTAGTGAGAAAAGTAAGATTTTATACTTAGACAAAAAAAGAGCAAATGCACAGGTATAGAAAAGATAGTACCTGGTTCAATAGCAGTAACTGTAAGAAGGATCTAGGAGTCTTAATGGACAATCACTTAAATATGAACCAGCAGTGTGCTCCAGCTGCAAAAACAAGCCACAGTCCTAGACTGCATCAACAGAGGGATAGACTCAAGATCATTCGAAATATTAGGCCTGATGTATAATGCTTTGGTAAGACCACATTTGGAATACTGCAACCAATTTTGGTCAATACTGCAACCAATTATGATACAAAAATTATGTTAAGACTCTGGAAAAAGAAGAGTGTTAGGAATGTAAGTCACCTAACAGTTATTTGGGTTGGAAATATATAAACCAGGATAGACATTTTAATACTGTATCTTTAAGAAAGTGCTAAAACTGTAATTGGGTGTGGTTCCCCAAACGGCCATAAGATGGAGCCAGAAACCTGGGTTGTTTTAATCTCATTGAAGTGAGTGAGTCTCTGTTTCCTTCTGTTGGAGAGTGTTGCTGTTACTTCTAATGACTGTTACTGATCATTGATGTAAGTCTGTTACTGAACTGTTTTTGATACTGGACTTTGATATTTGGATTATCCCTGAACTGAACACTGTCTGCTTTACCTGTGAATGACTTGGACTGCTTATCTTGGACTGTCCTTAAATGTTTATTGGAAGTAAAAACCTATATTTACTGTACAGTGTATCTGTGTGCTGTGTGTGTGTTATTCTTCACTTCTCTCACTACGTCTCCTTGTATGCGCTCATTCTCCTAACGGGGAATTACCTCAACAAAGAGCAACAAAGATTATGAGGGGACTGGATGCTAAAACATATGGTGAGTGTTGCAGGAACTGGGTATATTTAATCTAGCAAAGAGAAGGACTAGGGTTGACATGACATCAGTCTTCCAATATCTAAAAGGCTATCACAATTCTCCTAAGCACATGAAGGCAGGAGAAGAAGTAATGGATGAAAAGTTAACAAGGAGAGATTCAACTTAGAATAATGAGAAATTTCCTGTCAGTGAGAACAATTAATCAATGGAATGACTTGCCTCCAGAAGTTGTGGGTGTTCCATCTCTAGACATTTTAAAGAAGAGATTGAACAGTAATTTGTCTGAAATGGTATAGGATCTCCTGCCATGGACAGGATATTGGACTAGAAGACCTCCACGGTCCCTTCCAATTCTGTTATTCTGCTAAATAGATACCTTTATGTAGATAATGTATTGTCTTCTTGATAAGCCAAGTATAATTCCCCTCTATTTTAAAATTTAAGTTCATTCTACTCCGGAGAACAATGATAATTGCAGAAACTGGCTTACTAGGTAGGCTTATCATGGCTTCTGATCTGCAACTTATACTTGAAAAAATATTGTTCTACCTTATAAAATTTCTTTTAAGATTACTTTTTTAAAAATGTATATTTAGGGTCAAGGTTTGTTTTACAAACCCACCCATGTAACTTATTTTACCTCTCTTAATTCACATTACTCTCACTGTGTACAGTTCTTATTGCATGCTTCAACCATCCTTTTGATCTTTTTTGCTTATGAAAGCACATTATTTATCTTCATTTATATTTCCCTCATTTGTCCTGACAGCCCATTTTACACTGTCTGGAATGTGAATGTCCAGTTATAAGGCTTTTAAAATTCAATTTCATGTTTTGTGTTTTACAGGTTTCCCTGGCCTGCGCCCCAAATCAGTATATGTCAGTACAACTTATGATGGTGGAAATGTTTATAGTACAAAAATTCCATACCTGGATGCTCGTGTAACTTTTATAAAATGGCTTGTAAATTTTTTTCTGGAAAAGAAATACCTTACAGCAGCACAATCTTCCAAAAATGGTGTGGAAGTTCTACCCAGAATCATTCAAGTATGTTACTA